ACACACACACAGACACACACACTCTCTCTCACACACACACACACACTCTCTCACACACACACAGACACACACACACACACACACACACACACACACAGCACAACTGAGATTCATTTTAACATTTAAATGACATTTATGTTGCTGGTGAACTACAAAAAGCTACAAATTAATTTTGACAAATATTTGTGTGTTTCTGCAGTAATTATATTTAAAGGCTGATCATCTTTACAATCATTTTGTTAGAAAATAAGCATGTATTTGGAAGTATTTTGGCAACAACTATGACCACTTACTTGTTCATGCTGAACACCACTCATTTGTCTTTCAGTGTTGATGGCCTGCCATTACTTAAGAAAGTCATGTGGCTTGTCCTATGTGCCGCCATTGTTGTTCTCCCTACAACATTAATCTGTGGAAACAAACAGCCAAATGAGCTGCATCTTTTAGATGATGTCGCAGCAGACCTCAAAGACCCCCCCCTGTCTTGTGGCATGCAATGCCAATGAAAAAATAAAAATAAACAGCACAAATGATTATGTTGCTGGTGAACTACAAAAAGCTACAAATTAATTTTGACACAAATATTTGTATGTTTCTGCAGTAATTATATTTAAAGGCTGATCATCTTTACAATCATTTTGTTAGAAAATAAGCATGTATTTGGAAGTATTTTGGCAACAACTATGACCACTTACTTGTTCATGCTGAACACCACTCATTTGTCTTTCAGTGTTGATGGCCTGCCATTACTTAAGAAAGTCATGTGGCTTGTCCTATGTGCCGCCATTGTTGTTCTCCCTACAACATTAATCTGTGGAAACAAACAGCCAAATGAGCTGCATCTTTTAGATGATGTCGCAGCAGACCTCAAAGACCCCCCCCTGTCTTGTGGCATGCAATGCCAATGAAAAAATAAAAATAAACAGCACAAATGAGCTTTGTGGTCGAGTTTTTACTCTATGCGCCACTGTTTGAGTAAATTAGCATTGTAAATTCCACAATATAGTAAAAGAAAAGCAGAGGAATCATCAGTTGGAACCAGAACCAAGGAACCAAGAAGGTAACAGAATTAGCCTCTGACTTAAATAAATAAATAAATAAATAAAAACTCAACAACGATGCAGTTACTGACCTCTTATCAATCCAATAAAACGCGCAAAAAAAAGAAGAAAATTAGATTTTATTAAGGTGTATTATTAAGGTTTGATTTTATTAAGGCTCAAAATTCTGTGTAAAGACGCGCACAGATTATTTAGTTACATTTGATTCAATGGAATTTGTATTTGATTACAATTGTAACTGTATTAAATAAAGTATTTACTCTGTGTATTCACAGATTATTTTTTATGTTGTCTAGTTTGTGTCTTAGTTTATGTTTAGTAATGTACAACAGATACTTCCCCGTTTTAAGAAACTTTGCATACTTGCCTTGTAACATCCTTAATTGCTGATTCTTTGGCACCAAAAGGGTCAATATTGACTGATATATTTTGGGAACATTGCCTAAAACAAATATTAAAGGGGTCATATGATGCGATTTCAATTGTTCCTTTCTCTTTGGAGTGTTACAAGCTCTTGGTGCATAAAGAAGATCTGTAAAGTTGCAAAGACTAAAGTCTCAAATCCAAAGAGATATTCTTTATAAAAGTTAAGAGTCAGCCACACCTACCTAAAACGGCTCGTTCTAACACGCCCCCACATATCTACCTCACTATGTGGGAAGATTTGCATAACGCCGCCCAAATGTTCACGCAAAGAAAGAAGGCGTAACTTTTATTCTCGCTGTAGTATTGTTGTTGCCGCCGCCATGTCGTGAAGACGCTGTGTGCTTCCTTGTGAAAGCGAAACTACTTTGTTTGGTCTTCCAAAAGAGGACACGACTAGAAATCTGTGGTTAAGTTGTAGGGTACGAAGGGTAAAAACACTTTTTTTAAATATATATATTTTAATATTTTTGAACAAAAAGCAGAGAGAATCATGAATCTACATCTGCATCAGATTTAGAAAGATGATCAAAATGAAGTACAGCCTAAACCACTTCCTGGATCATATTTTCATTAGGTGACGTTACAGGCAGTTTTGATCAGTGTTGCCAGATTGGAAATGTCCAAGTATCGTACCAGAAGCTCAAAACTATCGTATTTGGAAGAAAATTACCGTACACAAGTCATGCGTACAGAATACAGCTATTTATATCTTAAACAACAACTTTTTAACACGACATGTAAATTACCACAATAGATAAATAACTGGTGTACCTCACATCGTGTCTACACCAGACGCGAGCGGCGTGACAAAATACTATAGAACCCGTTACAATAAGTGACACTGTCTACAATGGATGTGGCGCGGCGCGACAGACAAATCTCACACCGTGTCTACACTGGACACGAGTGGCGCGGCACGACAAAATACTATAGAACACATTATAATCAGTGATGCTGACTACACTGGATGCGGCGACACGACAAATCCCGCCAGTAAACTGCTGTCGCGTTCTATTTATTACATGCTGACACAAATTTTAAATGATTTTCAACAGTCGCTTTGCGCGTCCAGTGTAGACAGCTGTTGAGGCGCGGCACCACGGTATGGAAGGACCAAACTCCACCTCTGAGTCGCTGTCATCGGAAGCCTGTGTTGCCAGATGTTGAGGAGGTTCTTTTGCATTACAGATTTGATGCCCTCATGGATCGTACATCGTAGAGAGGTCTAAATTATCGTACAAATACGATAATTATCATACGTCTGGCAACCCTGGTTTTGATTTATATGCTGTTTAATGCTTAAAGGCACAATATGTAAGTTTTTGCGGCATGTTCAAAACAACAAAGGCGAAGCTTGATGACGCTGTGAAGACGGGTAGAACCAATGGGTATTAAGAGATGATATGATCTGATATGATATTCACGAATCATGTTCACGGATGAGTTAATGAATTACCTGTACCTTCCACAGTTATTCAAACAGCGAATAAATTATACAGAGAAAGCGAGCAAAGAAAACTGACATTGTCAAAGAACATTATGACTGATTTCAATCTAGTGCGAGATTAAGCACTTTCAAAAAAACTCCCCTTGTAATTAGTAAAGCTGTCTATACACTGCTTGATGAATGAATCACTTACTTGCATCATACATACATCTGCACTTGTTTATGAAGAGAGAATTCGCGAGCTGAATTCAGTCAGCCTGTCAGCGCGCGCGCACACTCACCACCCTTCCACAGTTATTCAAACAGCGAATAAATTATACAGAGAAAGCGTGCAAAGAAAGTTGACACTGTCAAAGAACATTATGACTGATTTCAATCTAGCGCGAGATTAAGCACTTTCAAAAAAACTCCCCTTGTAATTAGTAAAGCTGTCTATACACTGCTTGATGAATGAATCACTTACTTGCATCATACATACATCTGCACTTGTTTATGAAGAGAGAATTCGCGAGCTGAATTCAGTCAGCCTGTCAGCGCGCGCGCACACTCACCACTGTTTCAGCGATGACTCATCTGAACGCCTCTGATTGGCCATTGCATTCATAAGCTCAACAGACTCGTGTGTGATTGGTTATAATGCACAACACTGTAAAAACGCGGAACATTGAGCAGATATAAATTTAATGCTACAGTCAACACTTTTCATTTCAGCCATAATGGATTTACTTTAACTGTGCAGCGGCATTTTGTCCACAAAACCGAGGATAGCGCAGATATTACGTCATTGATAGGCGACCATGACCATGGAGGAACAGGGACGAGTCCATTTTGTCAAACTCTGGATTTACAAATCCTTGGGAACTTTTGGAATAGCGTAAGTACACAAATGCATGAAATATATAACACTGTGCAAGTGGTTTTTGGATATTTTATTATAAAAATCTTACATATTGTGCCTTTAATGATCGTGTTATTTTACATATGCATCTGCATATGCATCAAGTCAGTGATATGACATAAAAAGCAATTCTTGCAGCAGTGTTTTTCTCCTTTTAAGCTTCTTCCACACTGTTGGCAGGTGAAAGGCTTCTCTCCAGTGTGAACTCTCATGTGAACTTTAAGGTTTCCTTTCTGATTGTAACACTTTCCACACTGCTGGCAGGTGAAACTACCTCTAGTTCCAGTCTCCGGAGCACTTTTTTGAGAGGTCATAAAGTCATGATGTTTCTCATTTTGATCTTTCTCTTCGGTTTCATTCAGTTCTTGATTCTCCTCTTTCGGCACCATCTGGTCTAAGGCAAAAAGAGACCAATACATGTTAATCCTGGTTTAATGGCACAAAGTAAGAAACATCAAAACATTTAGACATTTAAATGCATCATGTCATGCATATGTGCCAAATTGCATGAAATTTTAAGCATGTCGAAACCCTCAAAAACACCCAATTATTATTCTAAGTTTGAAGTGATTTAGGTAATAGAGATTTTTTTCAAAGCCTGTTGTATGTGACACACATCCCGCTACCAGTTGGTGGCGCTGTGACCATGACTCACTGTAGTCACACCCACAGGATCAGCCTCCTTGACCAATCATACAGCTCAAGTTTGATTTCCATTTTTCACCAATATTTTATCCCTTTGCCATGTGAAAAAACAACCAACATATCAATAATCACATCACCTTCTATTATCTTGGCATCATGATGACCAAGTTTGGTGTCAATCACATGGATCCCCTCCAAGAAATGTTTAAAAGTTCACAGCATGCACTATTTATTAAACTAATGGCTGTCATTTTTAAAGTTCATGAGAACAGTAAACGTACAGAGTTTGGTGATTATAGGTAACATGGATTTAGTCAATCAATAATTTAGTCAAAAGGGGGTGCTACAGAGTCCTCTGTTCAACATCCATGTCTTAGCTTATTCCTACACCTAATAACTGACAACTCTGATGTGCGTGCAGAATTTCATTAGAACCTTAATAATGTTAAGAGCATCAAAATCATCACTATCCCTTTAAGCCTCATCATAGCACAGAAACTGTGCTTAATTATCTGCTTTTGGCATCTCATCACAACTACATGTGTCTCTTCTAGTGCAATTTGGTAAACACAGACCATGATGAAATATATAACACTGTGCAAGTGGTTTTTGGATATTTTATTATAAAAATCTTACATATTGTGCCTTTAATGATCGTGTTATTTTACATATGCATCTGCATATGCATCAAGTCAGTGATATGACATAAAAAGCAATTCTTGCAGCAGTGTTTTTCTCCTTTTAAGTTCCACCAGGTAGTTCTATGCATCTAAGTTTGTGCACTGCTCACTTTTCCCCTCCTTTTCTGAGCAAGGTATAAACAGTATTGAGACTCAGCTAAAACTGAAGAATCTAGTAGTTCTTTAGTCAGTGGGATGTTGAGAAACCCTCTGAGACAGAAGTATGAGTTTCTGATATAAAGCCCAACGCTTTTGGTATGACTGGGTGAGGAATCCATGCAAGATCACACATAGGGCCTGTTTACACCTGGTCACTTCATGCGGTTTCTCTAATCCGACCATGAAAAGACCAGGGCTGCGTTTCCCAAAAACATTGTAAGGCTAAGTTGATCGTAGACCCATTGCCACCAATGGAGCTACGATCAACTTGGGCTTACGGTGCTTTTGGGAAACGCAGCCCTGGTCAATAGTAAAGGTATATAATAAGTGTCTCTTCTGTTTGGGCACCAAAAAAATTGAAACCTCTGCAAAAGGGTTTTAAGACTATTTATTTATGTTATCTGAGACTTTTTATGGACTTGTTGAAAGTGAATTTAATGCTTTTGCAGGCTTTTCAAGGATCCACGGCTACCCTACTTTCACCAGATTGAACGCAAAGGTGATTTTTGAAATTGCTACCTTTTCTAAACCTCTTGCCACACTCAGAGCACTGCAGTTTCTTGGCAGAATGAGTTTGTAAATGCCTTTTCAGATCTTTTTGATATTTGAAACCCTTCTCACACTGAAGACACGTGTAAGGCTTCTCTCCAGTGTGAACTTTCATGTGAGTCTTGAGGTTTGCTTTATTTGTGCAGCTTATTCCACAGTGATGGCATATAAAACCGTTCTCTCTAAAGTGAATCCCCATGTGGTAATTAAGGCTTTCGTTACGTGTGAAACTCTTTCCACACCGATCACATGTGAACGGCCTCTCTCCAGTGTGAATTCTCATGTGAGTCTTCAGATTTCCTTTTCGATTAAGCATTATTCCACACAGTTTGCAGGTGAAAGGTTTCTCTCCAGCGTGAACAATCATGTGAGTATGAAGGGGTCCTTTATGTGAGAAACTCTTTCCACACTTATCACATGTGAACGGCTTCTCTCCAGTGTGAATTCTACTATGAGACTTAAGACTTTCTTTTCGTGGGAAACTTCTTCCACACTGTTGGCAGGTGAAAGGCTTCTCTCCAGTGTGAACTCTCATGTGAACTTTAAGGTTTCCTTTCTGATTGTAACACTTTCCACACTGCTGGCAGGTGAAACTACCTCTAGTTCCAGTCTCCGGAGCACTTTTTTGAGAGGTCATAAAGTCATGATGTTTCTCATTTTGATCTTTCTCTTCGGTTTCATTCAGTTCTTGATTCTCCTCTTTCGGCACCATCTGGTCTAAGGCAAAAAGAGACCAATACATGTTAATCCTGGTTTAATGGCACAAAGTAAGAAACATCAAAACATTTAGACATTTAAATGCATCATGTCATGCATATGTGCCAAATTGCATGAAATTTTAAGCATGTCGAAACCCTCAAAAACACCCAATTATTATTCTAAGTTTGAAGTGATTTAGGTAATAGAGATTTTTTTCAAAGCCTGTTGTATGTGACACACATCCCGCTACCAGTTGGTGGCGCTGTGACCATGACTCACTGTAGTCACACCCACAGGATCAGCCTCCTTGACCAATCATACAGCTCAAGTTTGATTTCCATTTTTCACCAATATTTTATCCCTTTGCCATGTGAAAAAACAACCAACATATCAATAATCACATCACCTTCTATTATCTTGGCATCATGATGACCAAGTTTGGTGTCAATCACATGGATCCCCTCCAAGAAATGTTTAAAAGTTCACAGCATGCACTATTTATTAAACTAATGGCTGTCATTTTTAAAGTTCATGAGAACAGTAAACGTACAGAGTTTGGTGATTATAGGTAACATGGATTTAGTCAATCAATAATTTAGTCAAAAGGGGGTGCTACAGAGTCCTCTGTTCAACATCCATGTCTTAGCTTATTCCTACACCTAATAACTGACAACTCTGATGTGCGTGCAGAATTTCATTAGAACCTTAATAATGTTAAGAGCATCAAAATCATCACTATCCCTTTAAGCCTCATCATAGCACAGAAACTGTGCTTAATTATCTGCTTTTGGCATCTCATCACAACTACATGTGTCTCTTCTAGTGCAATTTGGTAAACACAGACCATGACATTCTCTTGGATAGTTTGATTATTATGTTGGCATTTGTGCACAAGCATTAGCACAGCTTAGGTCCTATCTATCCAACCGCTACCACTTGTGTTTGATGAGATGTCTATTCATTTATACAAAGTATGGAGTGCCACAGGGCTCAGTATTAGGTCCTCTGCTTTTCTCCTTGTATATTTCCCTCTAAGGGACATTATTATTTATTTTCACTGTTATGCTAATGATACTTAGGTTTATATTTCCTCACAACCTGGAAACACTGCATAACTTAACTAGTCAGCAGAGCAGGCCCGGCGCCAGATTGTCATAATTGGGGGGCACCATTAGACCTGGTGACTGATTTGGCCCCTCCTGCTCCTTTTCATTTATTTATTCACTTAAATATTATTACTCTATATTATTGCCTGCCCGATATATATTCGGTTTTCAATATTAAATTGACTAATAATCTTAATAAGTAAATCAGCCTTTATAAACTTTATTACAACTGTATATGTGTATAGATCAGCAGCCTAAGATTGCAACAGTTTATTTGGAGAACCGAGGAGGCCCAGGATTTTATGGCTCATATAAGCTATGAACATGAAGCGTAGTTCGGTTAAGGCTTTCAGTAAGCCTGCAGCCTCAAGTCTGATATCTGTGCTGTACGTGTGAGTGGTTTCGATTTCACGGAGCATTTCAGTTATGCTGTCACCAGATTTCAACAGATGTCTTTTCAGTTTTTCACCAGATGTGTAAAGGGAATTGCACACACTGAAAAAGTCCTCTATTGCCTTAATTTAATTTGTCTTGCAGTATTTTTTTTGCATTTTGCTGTGTTTTCCAGACATAACATTTGCACTGTCATAACACTGACTAAAAATCTTGTCAAGCCTGAGGCTAGCATTAGTTAGTTCAGAGATAACTAGTACAGTTAATGTCAAGGCGTCACATTGTTTGCTTGTAGTCATTGTAGTCAGTCTCTCTCGCACACGATAGCTATCATCAACATATCTCACTACATTAGAAATGTTTTCACATCCAGCTGGGTCTTTAGTTCAATCCACTTAAGGGTGTACCATGAATCACCGATCTCCTTCACAATGTGTTCGGTGATAATCTCGCTCGTATGCGAGATGTGATTTGGTTCTGGATGTCATAGGAGGTATACGTGGCATTACGTGGAATTGTGCTGAATGCTTCTGCGAATTCTGTCTTTTTTTATTGTGTACTCTAATAAGACCAAAAAGAGACAACCACTTTTCTCACCCATGGAGTTCACGGCATCTAAACTCCCTCGCAAAGGAAGCTTGTTCGCAGCAATAAACAACACAATGTCCACTAATGCTGACGCACATACACGGTGTATTCCTAATTGCTCAGTATTGACAATAGTGGAAATTCCTTTACCCATTGCGCTGCAAGTTTTTTGTCCTTCCACAAAGTCATGTATTTTCAATGCTCCTTAGAGGTTTCATGCTTCCCAATTGTTTTTTATTGCTGTCATTTGAGTGTTACCAGTTTGAATAGCCGGTATGAGTGAAAGCTTGAAAAGCACAAAATAAAAATGCATTTACTTAATTTTTACTTTTCTTTTTGTCCAGCGTTAACTAAAGCGCACGAAACCATTTCTTCAATTCATTTTTAAAGTCACCATGAAATCAAAATCGAAATTTTTTTTAATGGAATACTGTAGTGTTTATTATAAATAATTTATCCATGCACTTCATTATTTTTTTTTTATTCATGTGCCCTCATAATCTTTAATCAAAAACATTAACCTCCCCTCCCCCTCAACACGACTCCTCTTCTCTTTCGGTCATGAGCTACGGCGCAAGGGCGGAGCTAGTGACGTGAGGGGTAAACGCTGGGATAAACGACGGGGAAAAGCTGAAGCTGATGCTGATGCTTCACTTAATAGCACTGACACCAGTCATGAGGGAGTACGTTACCTCTAAACATTGAAAAGATATTAGGATATTACGACAACATTACTCTTACGACATCGCAAACTAATTTTTTACATGAATATGACTTGACCTGATGGAGGACGCGCTCAGTCATTCAGGCAGTCTCTCTCTCTCTCGCGCGCGCTAGGCATGTTTTGTGCCGTTGATCGTTGTCGTCATCCTTAATAAATAAAACTTATTCATGCTTGGGTGTCGGCTGTGAATCCAGTGGAGAGAAATCCCCCACCACTAACTGCAAACTGGCATTCAGATCTGCCTCCATTTTGTTAGCAACGCCCCAGCTTCCAACAATCCAATCAATTCTCGAAGGACGAAATCAAGTCCCGCCCTCTCATTTCAGATGCCGTTTCACTCGGATATACGTCACAGTAGAGAAGAAAAGACAATCGCAACTTCTGTTTCATGCCGACTTTAAGATCATTTAATTATTTATTTTTATTATTACTTATTCTTTTTTATTAATGGCAGGGTTTCGTGGTTTTTAGTCACGTGACCGGTACAGAGACCCGCAATGCTATTTTAGTTTTATTAATATATTGAATAAGTTTTACTTAAATTTTTTTAGTTTCCTTAGTAATTTGAATTAAAAAAAATTTTTTTTTTTTAAGGAAAGCATGTTCCATCAAGGAAACAGCACTTAGGTCATTGCATTCCTCTGTGTCTTCATGTAGTTTTTCATTTGTGCGTTAAAGACATCCACCTGAGATTAGGTAAGTGAAAGTGTTGCGTTCATTGGATAAATTCGTTTATACACATTAACAAAACTGTTTAGGTATTTGACTGAATTTAGTCCTCCAACAATGCTTTAATTTACATCTGTCTTTACAACAGTCCTATGACATTCTTCAAAAAAAGCTGGGCATTTTAATAAGGATCAGATGAATGAGTACAGCTTTGAGAATAAACACCAACCTGTTTGTGTCTCAGTATCTTCATGTTTGAATGTTTCTTCAATCTTTATGTCTTCACTCTCCTCTTTAATAAACTCCATCTTTATAATCGTGTTTCACATATAGTCGCTTCAGCAGGAGTTTTTCTGTGTTTGGACACTTTGTCCTGTTAAACATTATGAGAGAAAACAAAAATGCTAATTAAATATCTGAGTGCATCTCAATCAGCTCCCTAGTTCAGTAGTGCACTAATGAGGGAGTCAGAGTGAGAGTTAATGACATTAAATCATTAGATTTAAAAAAAAAAAAAAAAAAAACGCACTACAACTGAATAAAAGAACACATTATACAGACATATTTTGTATTTAGTTGTGGCTTATATTTGGTATTTACTTACTTTTTAATTATATTATATATTACACTTTCATCTAAAAAGCTGGTTTGTATTTTCACATATAGTCGCTTCAGCAGGAGTTTTTCTGTGTTTGGACACTTTGTCCTGTTAAACATTATGAGAGAAAACAAAAATGCTAATTAAATATCTGAGTGCATCTCAATCAGCTCCCTAGTTCAGTAGTGCACTAATGAGGGAGTCAGAGTGAGAGTTAATGACATTAAATCATTAGATTTAAAAAAAAAAAAAAAAACGCACTACAACTGAATAAAAGAACACATTATACAGACATATTTTGTATTTAGTTGTGGCTTATATTTGGTATTTACTTACTTTTTAATTATATTATATATTACACTTTCATCTAAAAAGCTGGTTTGTATAACTCCCCTACACTTGTTTGGAGAAGCGGTGTCTTGTGATTCAACCGATTCGAATCACTGAATCATTTTGTGAATCAATTTGTTCAATTGATCACTACTATCACTACTTGCAGTGACTGCATTTGTGTTCACACTAAACAGATTCACGATACAGGGAGCGAAATGAGACACACTTTTTCTGTTACTGTAACTCACGTGCAGATGCATCGCATTAATGTTAAATAATATCATGATAATATTAATTAGACAGAATAAAGCATTGCGATGTTGCACTCAAAAATTCTTTCTGCGTCGCTGGTAAAACTATAGAATTGATTGAACAGTGTACATGGATTAAGACATTAACAAAATGCTTTAAAACACAAACCTTTCTTCAGCTCTGATGCAGGAGAGCGACGCAGCCTTATGACGTCACATCGCCAGACCAAAATAAAAGTCCTGTCCGCACGCTGATAAAAGAGTTGAATTATTGGTGATATATGTTGTCCAATGATGTGATGAAAATATTAAGAACTACTAATGAAAGAGTGTAAGATTTTGTCTTTAAAAAACTGTAATGTTTTGGTGCAACGATTTATACCAGATCTAAATTAGATTAAAATGCAAATAATGTCAAATTCACGGGTTACAGAAAAAAAAAAAAAAGTGTATTTTTCTAATATTTTAAGTGGATATTTAAAGTTAATTAAAATACCTAAAAAATGTATACAATGCAAAAAAATATATAAGAATTAGTTTTTTAGAAGATAATAAGATAATAAGAAGATAAATGAAAGCAAAAGCAATAAAAAAAAAAGTCAAGTATAAATAATCAAAATTCTAATCGCTCACCGAGACACAATGTACACCTGCTGAACTCCACAGAAACAACTGTTGTTTTTCTAAAAAAAAAAAATCATATTTTAATTCATCTTATTTATTATTATCATCTTAAGTTATTTCTTCAGATTGTTTTGTTGTGTTCATGTTTTATGCTTTATCCTATTAACTTGAATGCCTAAAGGGCAAAATAATATTTGCATGCAAATACATTGCACCATGCGCATGCATATTAGGACTGCAGCTAACTATTATTTTTTGTTGATTAATCTGTCGATTATTTATTTATTTATTTCATTTTCGATTATAGGAGACATCTTGAAGTGCTACTTGCTGATTAAGGACCTTGTGAAATAATCCCAGAAGGTGCTCTTTGGTTGGGTTTGAAGAGATTATTACAAAAAAGAAGAAAAATCCAAGGAAGAATCCATACCATTAAATCTATTGTACCTACACTATTAATGTTTTAAACAAATACTCAAGTCTCTCGTATCTCCAACTATGGCTTTTGGAGGAATATGCGTGTTTTTGTGTGTGTGTGTGTGTGTGTGTATGTTTTTTAAATATATAGAGATTCAAAAAATGCCGAGAACCAATTTTTATTCTTCAGTCGTTTTAAGGTGCATCTGGTAAATTGGGACACACGTTTTTTTTTATCTCATTTGAACTTCGATATTATAATTGCTTACAACAGGATACTATACAAATCTCTCTTTTTTTTTCAATAAATGTTTTTTACAACTATAAAAACAGACACTCTAGTGGATTGTTAGTGACGTGTACTCATAAACACTAACATTTCAAGAATCAAGAAACTTCGACAGAAGAAGGCTACAAAAGATGTGAATTAAAACATTTCAACAGAAATGCATTGAAGCACTTCAACAGAAGTATAAAACTCTACTTATTTTGTCTTTTGTGCAGCCTTTCTCCGTGACTTTTTCCCTGTGTTCTTTTCATTTTTTGTTTTGTTTTTGAGCCTATATATTTGAAGTGTTACAAATTTAAACATTCAAATGTGATTTCCATGTCATTTGGGGTACTTTCAGAACGAAGGATGTTTACATGACAAATGCTATGCAGGTGTAGCTGCAAGAGTTTATAAAACCTCATCCTTAAACACTCGTCTGTACTCGCCTCAAGAGAATAGTGGAACTTTTCTTTAGCAACTGCTACAGATATTACAGCCAATCAGCAGCCAGCGTTGATTGTACAGCCAATAGAATCACACTTTCACTATGGACACTGTTCACAGACTTGATGAGGCAAATATTGCAATGTTTATTTTTTTTGTTCAAATTAATGCACATTTATTTAACCATATATGCACCTCACTGAGAAAGAATGAGACACACATGCTTAGTAGATATATAGTTTTTATTTATTTACTAATAGCACTTGCAATGTTTTGCAAAAAAATATAATTTCCCTTGTCTGACAAATGAACCCATCCCACCTGAACAGTTCACCTCTCGTCTGTGTTAACTCTTTATTATCGATGAACACTCCACCAGTGTCAGCCGTGTATTTTGCCATGGCACTGTTGATGAACCTCCTGGCTTTGTTCATCTTCCGGCCTTCTCCCCACCGCCACACACACCTCTCAGTGATGCCAGAGAAAATCACTGTGGCATTGGTAAGTTTCTGGAGTGCAGAAAGTTCCTCCTTCATGGAGCTCAGAAGATCCACACTCCTCAGTAGGCCTAGGTCGTTTCCCCCAGAAACATTCCTATCCAAAAGGACAAAATAAAGGACAGATAGCAATATTTTCAGCTGTGGCATGTATGAAGTCAGTTTAAGCGGCAGGTGACACCTAATGCCGGGTTCAGACTACACGATATTTTTGTCGGTCACGATAGTCACTGTGTCAGATTACACGATTTTGACTCCTAAAATCTTGTCGTGTCGTGGACAAGAAACATGTCAGACTACACGTTGCTTCCCGACCATTCATCGCATGCCGTCTTTAACGACGCGCGTGATGTAATCGAGAACTAGCGACTGACTTCCGAAAACAAGAGTGTCAACATTGCTGAAGCGCTTCCGCTATAGTTCGCCAGCATTTTTCTTTGTTCTGTCGTGGTAGTCCCTCGATGACACATCATACAGGCAGGAGGACTGTTGCCACAGCTCCACGAACCGTTCCTCCATCTCATACTTCCACCTAGCAGCACCATCATCTCTCTTTCGTTTTGCCATGTTTGAAACCTGTGTATGAAAGAGCTTCTGTGCCCTAACATTGTTCGGGAGGCAGACACACTCTTGCAGTTTAAATCTAGATTAAAGACCCATCTCTTCAACCTGGCTTACACATAACACACTAATACACTGTTTGTCGGTCACTGTGTCAGATTACACGATTTTGACTCCTAAAATCTTGTCGTGTCGTGGACAAGAAACATGTCAGACTACACGTTGCTTCCCGACCATTCATCACGTGCTGTCTTTAACGACGCGTGTGATGTCATCGAGAAGGCGGAACTAGCGACTGACTTTCGAAAACAAGAGTGTAAACATTGCTGAAGTGCTTCCGCTATAGTTCGCCAGCATTTTTCTTTCTTTGTTCTGTCGTGGTAGTCCCTTGATGACACATCATACAGGCAGGAGTACTGTTGCCACAGCTCCACGAACCTTTCCTCCATCTCATAATTCCACCTAGCAGCACCATCATCTCTCTTTCGTTTCGCCATGTTTGAAACCTGTGTATGAAAGAGCTTCTGTGCTGCTATTGGTCAACGTCACCAATGTGACAGAACTCGTCGTGGACGACGGGAAAACATTAAACATGGTAGTCTTTCGGTCGTGATGTCGTGAAGCATCGCAGACACGGAATCGGTTGTCGTCCACTATGACACACTACACGAGCTGAAACGATGGAATCTTGCGTCACGACGCCTATTGTCGTTTACGAATCCCCACGACACCCTACGTCAAGCAAATCGTGGCAAAATCGGGCTAAAATCGTGTAGTCTGAACCGGGCATTGACTTGTATTTGTACTTGATTTGTAATTATTGGACGGCCCGTGTTTTCGCTTTGTGAAACTGAAAAGATTTGTGGGACTGAAAACATTTCCGTTGCGCGAATGTTCGCGGCCTATGTGGAAGCATCCATAGGAATCTGTTGTTTTATTCCATCGCACCCGATATTCGTTTAGCTTTTTCGCGCTCAGTGTGGAAAGGCTTTAAATGTGACATGTTCCATGTTTCCTGCCATTCATTGTTAATGAATTATTTTATCTTCCCTTTAACATTTTCCTTGCTAAGAGTCACTTGTACTTCTATTTCTGAATGTTTAAGAGCTTGCTTAGCTAGTTTATCAGTCATTTCATTAGCCTCGAACCCACAGGAACATTATTAAGCTTACACTACTTATTTTTAACAAACATGCAAGAATCTCATAAACAATGTCTTGCCTTGATGATTTTAACCCACTTGCAGGACTTGTCATGCACATCAACATTTTTTTTGTAGTCGACGTAAACCATGACGTCAATGCATCGTTGCATTACATTACATTACATTTGAATTCACACTGCATGAACCTTGTTGCTTCTTTTATTAGTATGTGTAAAATGCCTAATTTTCACTTAAAACTTATCCTCATGCAAATAATGCTTGACCGTCTCCTCACAGCAGTTCTCTTCCTAATGCTGCTGTTGTTATTGACTCGAAATGCATTTTCTTATGCATTCACTCTTTGTATTTCTTCTCTCTCCTTACTGCTTATGCATTACACTGCACTGTGTTGTTAACTTTGCAAGCAACAATAATGATCATTATGAAGTGTTACTGACATGGGCGTAATTTGCAGGTTGCCACTACTGAAGAGACCAACTTTAATGAAAGCTACTCAGATAATCGTAAGAACATTGGGACACCATGAATATGAACTAAAATGTGCTTTTAAAAATATTATATTTCATTACCACTTGTAGTACACTTGAACCCATATTACATACAATTTTAAATATACTCATCATACATAGAAAAAAGACTTGTGAATTATTTAAAATATAAGAATATATAATAAATATATCCAAAATGTATTTATAATGTATGGCCCACATATTTTTATAAATAAATTAGTGCTGTCAAACGATTAATCGCGATTAATTGCATCCAAAAAATAGTTTTTCTTTACATAATATATGCGTCACAGCCACCACAGTATATATTTTGAAAATATTCACATGTATATAATTATATTCATGTAATTTATAGTACATATATATTTAATATATAAACATAACATTTTTCTGAAATATATACATGCGTGTGGTGTGTGTATTTAATATACATAAATATACACAGTACACACATATATTATGTAAACAAAAACTTTTATTTTGGATGTGATTAATCGCGATTAATCGTTTGACAGCGCTAAAATAAATAATTTCAAATGTATTGTAACTATGTTAATATTCCCTGTATATGATATACTTAACTACATGTTTCTGGTGTCTTTACACGGTACAATCAAGTACACAATTAGAATGTCATTAGTAGCACTTTTTTTCCACATTAATATATAAATATAAAGAACTTTGTGCTAAAAGTATACTTTTT